AAAAGGACCCTGACACCCCAAAGTCAGAGCTCCACAGAGAGGCACCTGTATAATTTGAAACTGTCTGAGACGCCCGAAAATGTAATCCATAGAGGAATGGGCAACAAAGCAAGGATATTTGGCTTATAAGAGGGAGAATTTTCAGGAAGTGTATATTGAAACAAAGCGATACTATTTTCTAATAATTTAAGGAGTAAATGAAGAACTTTTTTTCTCTAATGTCAGAGCCGGCCCAGTAGATGGCTATTCCAGGTCACTATAAGGAAACATTTTCTTACAACTCCAATGGCATAACAGCTGTCTTGTGAAGTACAGAGCTCCCTGGGACTACAAGTGTTAAATCAAAAGCTGAAGGCAAAGGGACCTCTTCAGAGACTTGGAAGAGGAAACGCTAGTTCGAGCATGGAACTGGATGGCCTTTAGGACATGTGTACCTCTAAGATTGTCCAGTTGCAGGGCTGGGATTATAAAGGCTCTTTTCTCTCTTCTGATCATGAGCTGATGGAGTGATTGCTTCAGGGATCTGAGTGGTCACTGAAGTCCAGATGTTTCCATTTGCCTTATTCTCGGAGAACTCTGCTGAGTTTCTGACAGTTGGTAAGAAGAGTAAGAAGATGGTAACAATTGTGAGGGAGTAAAAAGTTGTTTGACGTCTGAGACAAAGTTGAAAGAAATCTATGAGTTTGGAATGAGAAAGGAACAAAGCTGGTTCCTAGAGTTCTAACATGGCAGGGGGTTCACAAGCTGTTAGAGGCAGAGCAGCTTGAAGCTTCTGCCTTCTCTCATTCGTGACTTAATCTCCTCTCTATTTTAATTGCTTAAAAAGTTATCCCCATCCCGTAGGTCATGAATGCAGGAAGTACATACAGTTTTGTTATAATTCCACCCACGACAAACATATGTGTTACTGTATGAATCTGCTGAATAATTTAACAAACAGGAGGTTTCACAAGGATTTGAAAAGCAGCACTTCATGTAGAAAGTTGAGGAGAAAACTTGAACAATGGATTGCTAAAGGTCAGGTTTGTTAATAGAAGATCGAAGAAAATTCAGGCACCAGAATTTCAACGCCCCTTCTCACCATAATTACGAACATCGTTTTTTACCATCCCCAAACCAGATCGTGTTTCTTGAGATGCCAATTTTAAATTTTTTAATATATTGCCTCCTAGGTGGTACACAGCCTTTCTTTCCATATAACCTCCGTTATCTAATTTCTCTTTTTCATCCCTCTTTTTGCCAAAATGTTCAAAGTGTGTAGTAAACAGCATTTTCTGCCTCTCTTCAGGCTGTTTTTCAACGGTGGAGGAAAATCCCCAGCTCAGAAACATGTTAATCCAGCATGCATGCTGCATGGCTTCAGGGGTCCAGCGTTCAGGAAACACAGCCCAGACCCATGCGAGGAAGGTGAATGATTCTGCTT